GGGGGGGGGGGGAGAGTGAAGAGGACACTGCGTTATGTGCATCTGGATGAGACCAGGAGGGAGACATCTACCAACGAAACATACAGGAAGGCGACACAGACACGCCCAAGACATGGATACATGCGCACGTACATGTGTGAGGTCATGCCAAAAAGAGGTCTGAAGCCTCGGGCAAACGCGGGTCGCCATCCCTGTCGAAGTTATGGAAAACCTTCAACGCCCACGCGCATCCGAGGAAGCAGGAAAAGCTCGCAACCATATGCGGCATAGCCAGCAGGGTCAAAATTCCGGCGTTGGCATCGATATACTCGCAGTTGAACCTGTTCATGAAAACGTTCGGCATGTGCGGCGAACGGGGGGGAAGGATTTTGGGCGCAGGTGTTACGGTCCCGATTGCATCGATGAACGCACGCCAGGCACACAGAAGTCCGTAGGGTACCAAAGTCGGAAGAGACAATCAACAACGGCAGCGGAGTTAGGGGTGCCAAGCGAAGGGAGGACCCACATCACGATATCTACTTACCGCGCTCTCCCACACAAGTGCGTCTGAATATGAGATCGCACAGCTCCTGCACTCGGCACTGGACCACTCACCACGCCGCCACGAGAATCATGTCGAGTAGTCCCGTCACGCCGTACAAAACAGCACAGGAAACGTACACGAACTTTGAGGGGGCGCACAGCACAAAGATACTCGTAAAAACCCCAGCGAGATTGGCGTCCAAGTTGATAATCAGCACCGTGGTCCAATCTCCTGTCAAGAGGGGCAGCGGGACGAAAAAGCGTGGGTGGATCGTTGTAGGATACCATGTGGAGCTTGGAGGGTGAGTTGGTGAATGAATGTGTTGTGAAGATTAGGCCACCGTAAGGCGCGAAGTCTTACCGAACATTCAAGCCCGGCGGAAATAACAAAGTAACCCACTGATGGTGCGTTCTTGGGGGAAGAGAAGAGACCACCGAACAGAAGTCTTAGACTAAAGCCTCAACAAAACAAGATATCTGGTCGGCGGGTGAAGTGCAGATTCGCACTGCTCATGCATTGGATTGACAGGGATATCGCCGGCGGATGTGGCTCTGCTACAAACTACTTCGCCGAACACCTCTTGCTACCCACGTTACGTGTAGAGCATAGTCTAAGCACGTTTTGGCACTTCTTGTTGTACTGATGAATATTGACCACGATGAGGTATCTGCCAGCACCTCACATGGGCACCGATGCCAATCTTTCATACTTCTACTTGAGTACATTGCTTACGCCATGCCTCGGTTTCGTGACATTGACAACACCTCTCCAATGTACATGCACCGGTTTGTACTGGCTGCGGATGGATGCATTTTATAGACAACGACGTGACGGGCTCATTCGCAACATATCGAATATCATCCTAGATGAAACTATGTAGCGATCAGCAAACATGCCAAGCGTGGCAGCCCAGCCCATTCCACAACGTCCGCCTGTAGCTGGCTGTGATGCTACACACGCAAATTCTCATGTACTGCATGAAGCGTCTGCACTGACCCCATACGTAGCAGCCAATAAGCAGAGCGATGGCGTGGATGGCGAAGATGGCGATCGATGCCCCGTGCGCCTGCGAGGGGTTGGTTGAAACTGTTGGTGTGTCGGCGGTGGCGTTAGAGTTGGCGTGTTGTTGTGTTTGCGGCGGTGGTGGTGGAGAACCTGTCTGTCAACTTTTACTTGCTCTTATTGCTGTAGATGCATACTTGCCGGTCGCCCCGGTGGTCTAGTTGGTAACCTCCAAACCTTCTAGAGGTCCGGTCAGGGGTTCGAATCCCGGCGTAAGCGAGCTTTGCCTGCAAAGTGAGTTTTTCCCTCGCTTCCGCTCCTGGCCTAGTGGATAGCGCTAGTTCGTGTGTACACAGAGGAAAGAGAGTGCTGGACTCTTCTCGCATTCAAAATCGAAGGCAAAGTACCACATGAGTGGAGGGTCGAGAGGGGCACTTCTGTTGTTGTTTGTGTTTTTCTCCCATCATTGGACTCTGTCGTCTGCCCCTCTGGCCCCTATCCTCCACTTCTACTAGCTAGACGACCCAACCGGGGTCACATAGGAGGGGGGGGTTGGACCCCCTCCTGCGGTTCATGCCTGCGGTATTTTTATCGCGAGAAGGGTACAGCAATCCCTTCCCTCGCGACTTACGAAGTCGATTATGGTTTACTAACAAACGAGCTTTGCAGCGCGTCGCTTTCATCCTGGACCAGGATTTATTTAGTGAGAAAAAAACTCTCTCTGTCGGGACTCGAACCCATGACCTGGCCCTTAGCAGGCTGCGAGGCTACCTACTAGACCACCGGGGCGACCGGTTCTGTGTGACCACGGGTTGGAGTGAACGGCACTAGTGCCGTGAGCGCTGATTTGAAGTGAAAAAAAAAAAAACTACTAGAGAACACACGTATGTTTGTCCAAGTATTGTGGAAAACGAGAGCGCCATTCAGAAATTGATTGCAGAGACCACAGCACGAACGAACGCCCCGGGGTGATTCGTTCAAGCACAACTCATAGCGTACAAGATTGCCTCATCGAATTTTTCATCTACGCGCGTATTGACCCGGGGGCATTCACCTCGCCACTCAACGGCTGGACACTCTCTGCATAGGACCGTTTTAAACGGACCGACTTTTTTGTCAAAATTTTCGACAGTTGTCTTTCAAAAACTTGGAACCTGTGTGCAGTCATTTTAAACGTGTGACGTAGACTTGTGCAACTTGTGTCAAAAAAAATGACGCCGTCCGTGAGTTGTAGCGCTCACTTCGAGACAACACAGACGACACAACACAAACCGCGGAAAACACGACATCATGGACACCGACATGGATATCACGACCACCCAGCGTGGCCGGCAGACCAAAACCCCGGCGAAATTCCAGCAGACGGGCTCTCTCGGTGCCGCCGTAGGCGGTGGAGGCTTGCTCTCCAGCAAGATAGTGCTGCTGCCTGGCATCTCGGGGAACACTCATGTTACCACGGGAGGCGCTGCCGCCACCAACACTCCGCCGGCGAGGGGTGGCAACCACTGCTCCTACCCCCCCGGGAAAAGGAAAAAACAAAGCGGCGGACGCGAAGCAACAACTGCAAGCCATCATGGCGGACCGCCGTTTTTTTTTTTTGTATTGCGCGTGCCCGTGGGCGAGGAGAGCCGCTCGAATCTGTAGGCGCGCCGCGCTTTCTACGGTCGGCCATGACCCACACACAACCCTAGCTGACTTTCTACGGTGAGGGGCACTCGTGGTGCAGACGCAGCAGCCCTCGCGTGCCTCTGCAAGGGTACTTTGGAAAGTGCTCCAAATACTTTGAGAGGGTTGTCAAAAAGTTGGAACGAAGTGGAGCAAAGTTTTCGCGCCCAACTTCGTTCCAAATATTTTGAAAAAATATGGACAAACGCCTACATACAGGTTCCATTTTTTTGACACTTTCAAACATTTTGACAAAAAGTCGGTCAGTTTAAAACGGCCCATATTATTAGACTACTAGGATTCTACATTAGAACACAAAGACTACCTGTTCGAGATAAACCACAGTCGAAGGGGATGTATCGAAGTCTACAGTCAGCATATTGCTAACTGTAGCTTGTCGACGTAAGTGAAGAAGAAAGAGTGGAGCTGTCTATGAAATGCCGCAGCTCTGAATGCCATCGCCATTTTCTTGTTGATGGAACGCTGACGTCAAGGGCAGTTCGCTGGTGTCAGCGCTACATACTGTACCCGACATCGTCAAAAAGGAGCAGCAATATTGTGACTCAACAAGTTTGCGTCTGCCCTGCAGAACTTAGGAAGAGGGCTCAGCTTGCTGGTTGGTACACATCAATCACGAACAGCCACGAAATAACGGTTGCAGATCATCAGCAGAGAGATGACACCAAGTACGCGCATCGACAACAATACTTGATACGCGCGCAACAACAGCTAGTTGAAACCACACCTTACATATCACATGCATGCTCTAGGTGATGACCCGTGATCTCACCGCTTTGGTATCCCCCCCGACCCTCGCCTGGGGGCCGCGGCACGGGGGGCCGCAGCAACACGGCGGGGAGTCCTGTACAAATGCTAGAGTCACAGCCTTCATGGGCATGGGCATGCTCTTCAACCGCGTCTTGGTGATGTCGTCCATACCGGCCAAAGTTCAGCAGCAGTGCACACACACAGGCAGGTACGTTTAGATCGAAAATGTCGGAGAAAAAGTAATGGAGGTGTGGGGGGACAACGACGTGTGCGTGCTTCCAAGCACCCACGGCAAATAGTCTAGCGCTCAAAATCCGCAGCACCTTCCCTAAGAAAATCCTTTCCCCAGAAAATTCCCCGGAAAACTCCGCTGCTCATCACGGGTTTGATGTGTGCCGATCTCCTGTAGAAAACGATCAAGCATATTTCTGCTCTCTCGGCGTGTTGGCCATGTACACTCGCTCGGCTGTACGGGGATCCGGGAGAAACTGGGTCGTAAGCTCTCGATATATTTCCGGGGACGAGCATGTGACCAACGGCGGCAACACTGCTGTCCATTATCCCACATTCTGAGAGCGGATCCTGCTGCGGGGCAGCCCGGCGTGCCCGATCCCTCCAGGCACTGCATGATAATATTCCAACAACGGAGGCCTTCCCCGATGATCTCCGAAGCGGCAATGATTACTTTCGAGGAGAAGCCGCTTCTCCCCTACGACTCATCCAGCAGCTTCGCTCGTTGCCACATCCCAGCCCCAAGGGCTCGTTGCCCCCGGATTTTTTTTTTCCGACGACAGCAACGGGGCCCAGATATAGGAATACGATACCCCCCCGTAAATACAAGCCAGAGAGCCCGTCCACGGGAAGAGGCCAGGGGGGCGGAGGTGGGATGCTGGAGGAGGCGGAAGGAGGCACAGGGAAGGAGGCACAGAGATCTATCCATTGCGCTGTACTCGGTCTTTGGCAACTGGCAACCGGTGAAAGCTGACCGAAGCAAGCGGGAGGCAAGAGAGACTGAGGCAACGGCTGAATAAGGCTAATACATAGTCTTGCTGGCTGACTTTTTTTCAAAACCACCAAGAGGCGGGGCGTGGAGTAAGTCGCAACTCGCAGGCTCGCCAACAAGTTGGTGGAGCCCACTGCAGCAGAGGAGGTGAGGAGAAAGAGAGCAAGCGTTCACTTCGTGCAACTCGTAGGTGGACGAGACGAAGATATCCAGTATCCAGGTAGAGGGATCCACAAAAGCTTGAGTACATCTAATTGCGCCGCATTTTTCAGAGAAAAGGGGAAAATGTGTCGCTCTGTCGCTCTCTTGGTCTCTTCGAAAAACGGACAATGCATAGATATGCATACGCATATGCTCTAAGCAGCACAATTGTTAGCGCGATTGATTGTCACCTTTGTCCAGCGGGTCGTCGGCTACGCTATACCCAAAATAGTGGTCCTGGATAGAGACGCGCAATTGTCTATGACCTTAACTTTGGATGTTTTGTTCTACTCAGGTTGATTGTGCCCGTCATGTGTAAATTTGTTAGGAAAAATAATTAGTACAAAAACAGAAAGATTACCAATTCGAGATATAACCACAGTCGAACGGGATATGTTGCAGTCTTTACAGTGAATGGAGGGAAACCGGCTGTGTATGCATAAAAAATGCACAAGGTGGGCGCATCTGTCGGAGTGAGGCTTCTCTATGCTGGCACCAACAATCGCACCAAATTACGCGTCGCCGCACACAACTATGT